AGCAGTTCTTCATTCGGTCCCAAAAATACATAAATATTTGTTTCCATTTTAATTAAAAATTTTAATTGTTTGTCGCTTTCTTAAAATAGAACAACGAAACTATTATAGTAGTAATAAGTTGAACACTCCGTACATAATTAAACGCGACAGAAAAGAATAGAAAAAATAAGCGGATTTTTCTTCTCAAACTGTAAATAACAGTAATAAATAACTTCAAATGGCGTGTTGTTTATTATCTTGCAAATGTGTTCAAAGAAATAGAATTGGTTTAAAAATAACATAAGTTTAGAAAAATCGCCTTAAAAAACGACTGGCATTGAAATGTATTCAAATATTATACAAAAAAATGTTTTTAATTCAAGAGCGAATGCGAAGACGTTTAAAAGTTTACAAATCAAACCATACAACATTCTTCTGTCCCTGTACTAATTCCTACATTCTTAAATAATTTAAACATCCCTAAATAAATAGTAGTGTTATTAAGATTTCATATTTTTCATGGAATTCATAAGAAAAAAATAATTTTTAAACACGTATTGTTGGCTTGTATAGTCGAAAATAAAAATTAGAAATATTTAGTTACAATTTAAGAGTTTTTTGGTTCCTTGGGTGAATATTTTGATCTTAATGCCGTCGTGGGACACCCTGTACATATTTATATATGATTTGATTAAAAAAGTGGCTATAAATTATAATAATGAAGAACATTTTTTAACATGATACAAAAGCAACAGTGAAATTCGTTATAACATTATAAAATCTACAAAAATCGTTTCTGTGACACATCATTGACTACTTCCCGATTTTTATCGATCGGGAATCGATTGTGTCATTAAAGTTTCAATTATTATACGTAATGAAAAATGCGTGATGTCAAAACAACATAGATGTCGATGACATTCGTACACAAGAGGGCACCGTTCGTTGACGTAAATTCAACGGATTTGTAAATTTAACTTTAACGGTTACAATAAGTTTAATCAGGATTTTTCACAGTGGTAGGACAAAACTAGGCACATATTCCATACCCTTAGTAAGGGGTATTTAACGAAACATTTTCAAGCTAAGTACCTATACAATGTTGTAAATAAGTGAAAAAATAATTATCATTTTGAACATAAACAAATTTTTACAATTAAAATACGGTATTATTTGTCCATATTGTTTCCATAAGCGAGGGTTTATTTTGTTCACTGTATACGGAGATCTAATATGATGTTCAACTAAAAACATCCAATTAATCCATATAAATTTGGTATCGTTATATAGATATTCTTTTCTATATTGAGTTAATAAAATAATTGAATTTTTTTATTATTCTGCTATCTATCAGCACAATTATGTATTATATGCATAGGTGATACCAGCAGGCACATGTCGTAGTGTCTGTGTTCGCTGATAATACAATTATAGTACATAATTAGTGCAGATAGATGGCAGGATGAATAATATAATTACTAGACATCTCTTAATTTAAGATGGGGTTGATGTGTCAAGGAAATTGTGTCATAAACAAAAAGAAGTAGGTACTTAGAATTTCGTGTCTCTGTATGAAAAATGTAACCCTTGCAAAATCACATCAATCACACAATCCTTTCGTCCATTCGTAACTGTCATTTTTATTCGAACATATTAAACATAGAAATTTGAAACTTTTCATAGCAATAAAACATAGATATTTTCTAGTTATTATGAACATTTCAAATATTTATAGGAAAATTGTTTAAAGGGGGCAAGCTAAATAATTATGAAAAAAGCCGTCGTAAATATATCATGTAGGGTGTCGTTCAATGAACCTGATAATCAGGAACCCAAAAAATAATTTTTTGAAATTTAAGGTGTTAACAGTTACCTACAACTGAGAGAGTTTCTCCTAACACAAGTTTTCTCTTGTAGGTGAAAAACAAATTAAAAAATTAAATTATGAGAAAAATGGATTAATAGGATTTTACATTTTGCTATATATGTATGTACACGGAGAAAATGAAAAACGAAAATTAACCTTAATATTAAAGCGATATTTAGCCACACTAGCCCGTTGCTTAGTAAGCGACAATAATAAAAATTAAAATTTGGNTATCAAATTGTTTTTAACATAATATCTTTTTTTTTTTTTCACATTCAGTATTGCAAAAAGCAACTCCACATTATGTGTGGTAAATAAACTGTGATTTATTTTTACAAAAATAAAAGTCGTCGAACGAAGGGGGATCCCAAATTAATCCCATTATTTGCACATTTTGTTTTGGATGGAAGAAGAACTAAAAAAACTAACGGTCTAAAATATAAGAAACACCTGACGCAAGACAATGGAAGCGCAAATGTTATTGAACTGTGTTTAACATTTCTTTTTTTTTTTTTGAACATCCACTATTGCGAAAAGTAAGTCCACATTATGTGTGATAACTGTGATTTATTTTTACAAAAATAAAAGTTGTTGAACGAAGGGGGATCCCAAAGCCCCCCACCATTTCCACTTTGTTGCTTCGGTTATCCGATCAAAATCGGTTTAAGTCTGTTTTCAAAAGGAATGTTTCAATAATAATATCATCTTCGTCAAGGAAATCATGTTGTTGTTCTTCGACTCTTCACATAGCAGATAATGCATTCAAACATCTCAGAGTTGATTTCAGTATTTCGTACACGATAGTCAGTCATTTACGAAAAAGAGAGAAAGTGATACATAAATACAAACCAACTGAACTATTATTTATTTAATTGATAATGTTACTAAATATAATAATGATTAGTGTAAGTAAATTGTTTTAAAGTGCGTTTTTGTCCAATTATTAAGAAGAACGTTAGCAATGGCTTCAAGTTTTCTTTATTGGTTGTTGTTTATTGTTTACACCAGTGATTTTGTTTACCCTTTTCCTACCTTTGATGGTAAGTCTTTCAATTTTAATTGAATCGAAATTTTTTAAAGTTTAAAATCCTGAAGTACAAAACTGAAAAAGTATTTTTTCAAGGCTGGTACTNTGTTTTTCTTTAATTATTTTTTAATAATTATACTAAAGACCCTAAAGTACAGTGGTGGGGGAGACCTCCTCTTTCGATTCCCCCCACACCCACCCCCTTCTAGACCTTTACCAAATTTTTCTGTATACAGGGTGTTTGATGTCTACAAAAATGATAGCAATTTTTTGAAAATAGATTTTTATAATTGAACCGTTTCTCCTTCGGAAATTTCGATGTTCAATTGTTTGAAATTCAATAAAAAAAAAAGAAAGAGCGGTGGAAGTGAAGACGAAGGTAACTGTTCTAAATCAAAGCAGCGTGTAAACAATGGAAGGGACAAAAGCGATTTTTAATCTGCCGAAGATTGTGTTGATAAGTGTAATAAATTAACCTTGTGTTTTACACTGTGCTATTATAATGGTTTAAAATGCGTTAAATCGATTGGAAAAAAACGGCTTCTCACTCGGCAAAGAAGGCCGTCACGTTGGGCAACGAAAAATGGTCTACCAGAGCACGAGCCGTTTTACAGCTTCAACATTGACACTTCCTGCGATTATGGTTAACGATAAGTATAATTACATCGTATTGTTTTTCAAAGATTACTAATGTCGATAGGATCTTTCAAAACAGCGATAGAATACGACAATGTTTGACAACGATGTTTTTAGTACCTAATAGCAGTCAAATTATCGGGTTGTTCGGGAAGTCATTTCGTTTTTTCCCGACAGAGGATTTAATTGTATTCTTTTGCACCCAACTTCACATTTAAGCCGTATAATTTTTATATGCTTTATTATCTATATTATTAGGCTGATTCGTCAACAACTGAAACCTCTGATTCGTCAACAACTGAAACATATGATAGCACTGATTTTTCAATTGAAACATACAACAACGCTGATTCGCTAACAATTGTGACATAACGTAATACTGATTCGATAACAATAATCGAAGCACAATAGCGTCAATTTGTCTGCGATAGCTCTGATATTNGATAAAATTTAAGTTCAATATTTTGTAAAAAACCTTGTTTATGAGAATTTTTAAGAGACTGCTTTACAATTAAAATAGGTTGATAACGATACGAGACTTGACCTCTTTTTCATATTTACTAACACGATAGTAATCGTACAATGTAGAAGTTATAAGCAGAAAATTATTACACTGCTACTGCATAATCAATACAATAAAAATATAAATCCGTTTCGATCAGTATCTTTTTGCCAATATGGACACTATAATAATATCAATACATAAATTAAACACTCAGTACATTTATAACTCCCTGATTAGGTTGGGTTACGCTAGGTTAGTTAGTTAGTCAGACACTTGAACTACTACTTGAAGTACTAATCAATTCTTAACTAGAATTGTACAGAGAAGGATGGAAGATCAATTTGGGTTTAGAAGAAATAGAGGAACGCGGAAGGCCATTCTAGCTTTAACAATAGAAAAAACAACAGAAAAAAGAAACACTAATCTTAAATATACTTAAAAATGTAGGGATGAGTTACAAAGATAGAAGAGTGATACTCAGTTTGTATAAAGAGCAACAGGCAGTTATAGAGCTGCGGCTGCAATGTAGAGAATACGTATTAGGAAGGGAGTCAGACAAGGATGCACACTGTCACCGCTACTTTTTAATCTATACATCGAAGAGGCTATCAACATTATTAAAGACGGTACAACTGTAGAGATAGATATACAAGGGCAGAAGATTAGTATGCTTAGATTTGCAGATGATGTAGAAGTATTAGCATCTAGCAAGGATCAGTTAGAGATAGCTTTAAATAAAATAGAAGCGGTACAGTACTGTATGAAAATAAATAAAAGTAAAACAAAAAACCGGTATGCAAGGGAAGAAAAAGTAGGGAAAGAGTGAACATAAAAATAGGAGATGAAAAATTAGCAGAAATGGCCGATTTTAAGTATCTAGGAAGTCAAATAAGTCAGGACGGAAGGAGTAGTAGGGATATAAAGCAGAGGATAACGCAGGGTCGAGACGCCTTCAATAAAAAGAAGTCACTTCTATGCTCGCAAAAGGTTAATTTAGAAATTCGAAAAAGATTGTTAAACGTTTATGTTTGGAGCGTGGCGTTGTATGGGTGCAAAACGTGGAAGGTGGGCGCTGCGGAAAAGAAAAAGTTAGAAGCGTTCGAAATGTGGCGTATCAGGCGAATGATGAAGATACCTTGGATAGAGAACGTTAGGAATGACGAGATATTAAATGGAATAGAACAGAGGTGGTACATTATAATAATAGTAGAAGGCAGAGCAATCAACAGATTCAATAACAATTAAAAATATCAACAAAAAAAAATAATTCAGTAAGAAACAATTTCAATTGAAGTTTTGAATCAGTTGTTTAATCAAAGCAATATTGGTGTTAAACGTACTTTATTTATTTATACGAATTAACTGTGTAACATGTGTAGTAGAGACAGTTTGCAACGCATAACTGTAATCCAGAGAAAGATAATAATTATTTGTATTGCAATAATTTAGTATATTATTATGTATTAAACTATCTGACATGTGATAGTTTTTATAGATAATTTTCAGTGCCTACTCTGCTTTGCGGTTTTTAAATAAGAACTCCCCCAAGCAATGGGTTTTAAGCATTTTATCATAACATTTTACTATTGTTAACTGTTTTTGCCCGTAGCGTATTATTAGGTAGTAAAGATGAGAAAAATTTCTCGGTAATTAATTACTTTTTAAACAATTGCAACATATACGTATGTTTTATTAGAATCTATTAAATACGAAGGACAACTGAAAGTCATCAAATATTAATTTAAGTTTTACGAGATAGTTCAATATAATTAACCTTTGAAGAGGTTTTATTGTAATTATTAATTCATACAAAATAAGCGCTCAAATAAGAATTGGACAAATCTGTAAACGTTCTTTGTTTATAATTAACAAATAAGTTCAATGTACAGGCTTCTGAACAATAACGTAAATGATTTAGTAACAAACTTCTACTCATCCTCGGTTTTTTTATTTTTTTTTTACTGTAATGTTCGGAATGTTTTAATTAAAGTTTAAAATTGAATTAACGTATTATTTTGAAACACTAATGGGATGTACTACTCATACATTTTGATTAGTAAATACTCGTAATAAGAATTTATTAGAACTGGATGAACTTGGAAAGGAATTTGTAGTCCAAAGATAATACTATCTAGAAAATGTCAAAATTTATTTGGCTAACATAAATATTGTACATATTTTCATATCAAAACAAATTCATTTTTAACGATCAATAACAATCGCGANGCATAACCAAGTAGTCAAATTGTTCTATCGTTGTCATGAACAACAATAGCCGATGAAGCATTTGTTTCAGGTTGGAGCAATACTACTTAAAATAACCAACTAATTAATGCGCTCTTTCATTGTTGTGAACAATAATAGTCGATGAAGCATTTGTTTGAAGTTGCAACAATTAGTACTATTTAATGATATTAATCAATCAAATGCTCTTTCACTGTCACGAACAAAAGCCGACGAAACATTTGTTTCAGGTTTCTAAAACTAATACCACTTACAATAACCAACCGATCAAATTGCTCTTTCTTTGCCGCGAATAATAACCGATGAAGCATTTGTTTCAGGTTGAAACAAATGATAATGCCTACTTAAAATAACCAACTAAATCATAGTACTTTTTCATTGTCGTGAACAACAATAGCCGACGAAGCATTTGTTTCACATAACAATCGAGCCAACAAATTAAAGTGTTCTTTCCTTGTCATTCACAACAGACGATGAAGCATTTGTTTCAGGGTGCAACAACTAATACTACTTAATATAACTAATTAAGCAAATTGCTCTTTTATTGTCGCGAATAATTTTGGCACCATTTTGTGGTTCTAGGGTTGTAGATTATTTATATAGGTATTGTAGATTTTAGTAGACTTTCAAAACTGAGCCAATTTTTTTTGGTATCAGAAAAAAAAAAACTATAGTAAGGTGGAGTTTTATTTACTTTTAATTGACTTTTCAATTAAGATAGGTATGATAGGTTTATAAATTACCGTCAAAGTTATTAATATTAAAAAATACAACTGGAACAACTTTATATTTTCGGAAAGGGCATTTAAAGGGTAATTTGTTAACCAATCACGCCTTAATTAAAAAGTCGATTTAAAAAAAATCAAACTTTCACGACGTTAACTTTGCCTCAGTAAAAAAACTTCAACGATGCGTTGTAAAACTGCTATTTAGATAAAATACTTGTTAAGGTTCTTAAAAGTTATAATACTCCACTTTTACTATTTAATTTTGAACTTCTTATCTAATATCATTCAAATCAATTCCGCTGTTTATTACCGAAGTATTTGGATTATTTCAATGATAGGTTAGACGACGAACCCTTTTTAAATGAAATATCGGTATAAGTTAAATAATAATGATAAGATTTTAAAGATAATAAAGTCGATTGAATAGATAGAATAGAGACATTGGTTTCTCAATAAAATTGTAACTTTAATACGTATGACTAAACCAGGATGTTTTAAAGAAGAGTAAGAAAAGTGATGACGAAATGAAAAATTCTACCGCTTCGTACATTTTATTTGTATCCTTTCAGAGTTACACTTATTCATGAAACAAAAACTAAAACTCATTCGGTTATCAGTTTCGAAGATTTCCATGAATAGTTGATAACTATTAATGTAATTACAATATGAAAAATGTAAACTATCTTATATATGTTCATAATTATATTCGTTATTCAAAAATGTCACATCGTACAACACACCATTATCATCATTCCTCTTTCCTATCCTGAGCTAATCTTTGCATTTTCTTAAAACTACAACGTCCCTCATCCTTAGCTATTTGTGACAGTAATTTAATAAAATCCACCTCTATCCCTCTTAACTCCTGTTTCTGCTGCTTCCAATATGCCTTTAAGTAGCCCTTCATGTCTGAGAAGGTGTCCTACCAACCTACGTCTCTCCTATTTCACTGTAAAGCCATTTCACACCTTTGTTTTTTTATAAATATTGCAGTACTTGCATATAAACAAGTGAAACACCTTTGTTGGATTGTTTTCTGCCTCAAGTACATACGTAAAACAAACGAATTGTTGTATTTGCTCAGCCCAATTTCAATTGTTATCGTATTACACGGCACAGATACATAGAAACAATTGAAACGCCATTGTTGGATTGTTTGTCCCATGTCGCTTGTCCATTTTCAATTGTTATAAAAAATGAAACACCATTGTTGAACTGTTTGTTTCAATAAGTTGCCCCGCCTCCTCCCATTTTGTAGTACCTACGTACAAACGAATGAAGCACCATTGTTGGACGCAATGATTCATGCATTGTTCATTGACATTACATCCATGTATTGTTTACGTGAGTATTTTTTATAATCTTTTCGGAAGTAAATGCGGATTATACGTTAGACGGAAGGATTATACGTTATGGAAAAAGTAACTAGATCCTCTTTTTGACGTCATAACTCATACAATCGCAATTTTAATGATGATGCGGGAATTTCGATGCAGCTATGACGAAAATACATTTCAGATGTAATGTAATATAAATTTTTTGTATTTATTTCCACATATCGTCATAGTACTACGGATATTATTGCTATCATTGACCTGAACATAAAACCGTGGAACTGTGGTTAAGATGAAAAAAATGTCTGACGAAGCATTTTCTTGTAAAATCGATGATGCATTTGAACCGATTCTTTTACAACACGTTTTTGTTATATTTACGTATACATTTCTATTTAATTAGAGATAAAAAGATCCAAATCGCTTTTACACATACCAATGTAAAGTATTAATGTATAATGTGTAAATATGAAGTGAAAATTTGTTGCTTTTGCTTTGTAAAAACCCGATGCATTAAAAAATAAAAATCAAAATACATTATTTTTTCTAAAAATATAACTACCTACCCAAAATTAAATACCTAGATACTTGATAAAGTGCATCATAATTTAATTCTCATTTTTCACTCCAAAAAAATTTTCTTTTATTTGTTATAATACTTCTTAAAGAAATAAACCAAAATCATAAAAATCGATTTTCGGAATTTGTC